GAGGTGGACATCAGATTCTAGGAGGGATAAGCATGGAAGTGGTGTAAACCCTTCCACAAGGAAGCTTCCATCTCTGCTGTGTTGTTGTCTTTCAAGCAGAAGCTTTGAAGCTGTGAAAGCACGAGCCCGGTTTGTTACAGCCCAAAGTTAGCATTTTATGAAGACACTTGTGAATTTTCTTTACGCTTAAGACGTGGAAGATGGCTCCGTGGGACTCGAACGCTCCCGTAGAAACCAAAGGGAAATGTTTGCCAGGGCTCAGTGGGGAGAGAACTGGGAACTGCTCCTGTGTTTCATTAAGCCACAGACTGATTATAAATGCTGTTGCTTATGTGCTACGGCTATGAACTGGAATTTTTTTTTTTTTAAATATTTTTTTGGCTGCAGGAAAAGTAAAAAGTGAAGGGGAAAAACAAAAAAAAGAGAGGAGAGAGAGACCTGGTCCCACTACCCCTGGTCCCTCTGCCACTCCTGCTGGTTTGACACAGTGTGAGTGCGTGGGGAGCCACAGGTGGCTTGGGGCCGGTGCTTGTCCCAAAGGGAATTTGGGGAAGCGTCTCTGTGGGGTTCTGGGGTGTGAATGCATCGGGCGTGGCCTGGCTGCCCTTCGCCAAAAAGAGCAATGAGGTCTGGGAAAACAGAAGAGAGACAAAAATCTCAGAGCCAGAAAGGTGCTGCAATAATTACTAAAAAGAGGAGGACGAATTTAAGTCCTGTCAAGGTGAACTCAGATTTTTGACGACATCTGCCAGGGTTCGGGCTGTCCCGTGCCCTAAAGGTCGGCTTTCCCTGGCTGGGCAGGAGACTTAGTGCTGCTCCAAAAGCTGGGCCTAGAAACTGCTGCCCTTCCAAGTGCTGACCTAATAGCGTGTGTAATAAACTCAGAGCTTTGCTTATTAACATAATACTAAATAAGAATTTTTAAAGGGGCTTTGTAGCATTTGTAGACCCTTTCTGGAAGACAGGAGCCGCGAGGGTTTTTCTCCCCAGGGATCATACATCCCATTTAATCTGCCCGCTTTCATCGCCGGGGATGACCCCGACGACCCAAACCCCATCTCCTCGGTGCTCGCTGCAAACATCTGCGTGTCAGAAATCCCTCCGAAGGCAAACTAAAACCCTGCCTACTGTTCCCAGCGTTCCCCGGATACTAAGAAATGTATTTGGTTCCCACATGCTTTTCTAGGAATTTGGGCTAAACCGGGCAGCTTAGCCCAGCTGAGCTCAGCTGAGAAGAGCCCTGCGTGCCCATGGGCGCTGCCGTGTCCCAGCTGCAGCATCCGGAAGGGCCGTGCTGAGCGCAGCCGCTCCATCCAGCCGCTCCTTGGAGCTCCTTTGGTACCTGGTTTCTTCATCTGTCCCCTCAGCAGGAGGAATCTCTGCTGCAAGGCTTCTGCGGGAGACTTCCGTTTACCGGAGCGAGGATCTGGTGCAATAACAAGCCGAGGAGTTACCTGCAGCCGCAGCCGAGCTGAAGGCGTCTGGCAGATGGCTGAGTACAATGCAACCTTTTAAAACGTCTTCAGGGCCAAAGAGGGTTTTCTTCCAAAGATTTAATTGTTGCATTTGCTCTTTTCCCCATAGACTGAGCTCACCGTACCCTGGTAGGTGGTGGGAGGATGCGAACGTTGAGTTTGACCCAAGGGAGGCAACGGGACGAGATGTTCTCTGCTGAAAACCAGCAGTGGGTTTTCTCGTGATGGAGGCCGTTCGGTTTTTAAAAAAAAAAAAAAAAAAAAAATTGAAACTGGGAAAAGTCCTGCCCGATGGGGGGTGGGTCCTGGAGGGCCCAGGGGGTGGAGGAGCCAAAGGGAAGGGGTACGTTGAAGTCTACTCCTCACCTTTTAGTGCAGGGAGCTCCTGTCGGATGTCTTCCAGCGATGGCTGCTTTTCGGGTGCTCTTCCCGTGCTCAGCAAGGCTAAACTGCAATAAAATTACTGGAGTATTTGCACTAATTAGCTTAAGTTAATTTCAAGGCAATTGGGTGCAAACTGTTAATTCAGCTGGGCTGGCTGCTAGGCTGAGAGATGCATTAAAACGGAACGGGGGCCATCGCAGCAAGAGTTAAACGTCCTGCCGTAAAGCCCTCTCTTTCGCTGCTCTCAAACCCCACGTCCCGGGAAGGCAGAGGGCAGGGAGGGGAGCCCAGCCGCGTTTTTAATAAAGGATGTGAAAAGCAAAATCCGTCTTGCTTTATTTATATTTCGCTGAAACATTCATGTCTGGTTTAGCCCTCTTGGCTAAGGCGCCAATAATCAGCACAAATCTGCCGCAGGAGCAGTAGATGAAGTGGTTTTTGATGAAAATTCTCCCTGTCAGCATCCCGAAGGTGCCGTGAGGTGTTAAAAGGCTTTGGTGTTTGGTTCGGAAAGGGGATCCCCAGTGGGGCTGGGGTCTTCAGCAAGCAAAGGACCAGCCCCTGCCCCCCCGGCCTGGGGGCTTCCTCCATTCCCTGACTGCTTTCCCTTCTGCCTTGAGCATCTCGTGAGTCGGCCCCCGCTGTCCAAGCCCCGCTGGACCAGTGGAGCAGGGAGAAGGCCGGCAGGTTCTGGGCTTTTAGAGGAAATCTTCAAATGAACACATTTCCAGGAAGTTTATTTTTAAACTTGATACTCGCAGCTAAATTTAGCAGTCAATTGATTTATTTTTTTTTTTTCTCCCGCTCCCCTGTGGCTATGAAGAGCCTCGCCTCCTGCTTCACAACCCGGGTCTTGCGGGGGATTTGCTCCCCCATTTTATGCAAACACCTGAAGGTTAAGAGGTACTTGACGCGCTGGCTGACATTTCCAGCCAGGCACCGCACGGACGGGCACGTGTGGCACCAGTTCCAAAGTGCTGGGGTAAATGGAGCTGTCGTGCAGTGCCAATCGGCGCGGGGTGCGTCTGCGCTGGAGCATCCGTGCTGGGAGCTACGGGAGAGCGGCACCTGACGGCAAAGTGCATATTTGTGGTTGGAGAGGGAAAAGAAAGGCGGGGGGG